TAGGCAAGTGTTCTACCACTGAGCTACAACCCCAGCCCTCCTGACATTATTTATCTCAATTTTTATAACCTCTTCCCATATTAGGTATAATTACCACCCTCATTTGTGAAGAGTGGCAGAACAGCAGCCATGTGCCATTCTGCAGGCAAGATGCTCCAAGAAGAAAGAACTGTGGCTGCCAAGGTTCTGCTGGGGGCCAGGCTTAGCATGTGTGAAAGTAAGAAGAAAAGGGAGCAAGAGTTTGTGAGGCTGAGCCCCAGGAGGAGTCTGGACACATGGAAGGGCCCCTCAGAGCAGCACAATGGTGTCCATGCTGGAGCTTTCGACTGAGTAGGGCAGATAAAGGCTCAGGGGAAGAGATTTGGCTAAAGTTAGAATGCTACACTAGACCCAAACTCAACCACACTTTCCATATCCTGAACACAATGGCCCTTATATTTTAGCATCTCTCAAGCGGTGACAGAGACACACCCACAGCCCCTCAAATACCTGTACATTCTTTTGTCTGAGAATCAGACTAGTTGATTACCCAAATACACTCACAAGTACCCAAATCAGGAAGCAATGCTTTGTGATAAGCTGGTTTCCTAGATAATACAGAATATTCTGATAAATTTTTAGATCATAAAATTAAAAACACAAGTTAAAATAAATTATAGTTCCACAGACCCCCATGAATATCTAAGTGGACTTGGGTTTGGGAAACACAACTCAGTGATATCCTTAACTGTCCTACAAGAGCTGGGCTTCGATTCTAGCAATGAACAGTGACCCTTGACTGAAGAAAGTCCTATGCCATGGTATCCTTATTTTTAATAAGCCACTAATCTTATTTTTTGGCTCTACTTCTCAGTGAAGAATAAGTACACAGAAGGATAAGGACACCCACCTCATAGCCAAACTAGCCAAATCTGCCTTGGTGGTCAGGGCTAGATAAGAAGATGATCATCTCAGAAGGGGAAGACAAAATAGGAGGGCACACATGTGACTTCTATTTTGGGGGGAGTATTATAGCTACTCTGGAAGTGCAGCCTAGCCTCCAGAAGTCTGAAGATTGCCTTAGATTATGTGCTAGCTTCAGTGAAGGCTGCTCCTACAACAAGGCTGTGTGTGACAATGACAGTCACATTCAAAACTTCAGTGACAAACTGGAGCCTAGGAGTTGCCAGTCACTAAGCAGTGATCAAAGACACAGCTTGGTGGTTTGTGCTGACAAAGCTAGTTGAGTGTGTTTGAATTGGGACATATTTACTTTGGAAAATATGCAAAAACAACCCAGCACCAAAGTTCACATTGAAACTCCACTGGTGACCCTGGCTGATTTCATCTCTGTAGAGCCGCTTCTCAGAAGGACAGAGGTAAGTTCGGTTTCTAATATTTCTTTTGATTGTAAATTCTAATTTTTGGTGTTTAGAGATGAGCAATTCATTCTTTATCAATGCGCAAATGCAGAAGCTTTCCACGCTAAGAAGTGGGAAAGTATTTAAAAATTTTAATCTGTCCATTATATAATTAATCCTATTTATCAATACTGGGACAATTGACAAAATTGGAATAGGAACTATGGAAGAAATAAAAGTATTATATCTATGTTAAATTCAAATTGGATAACTATCCTATGTTTACATATGAGAATATCCTTGTCTTACACATTTCCCCTTAAAATACTAGTATTAAAGGTTAAAGGGACATGATAGAAGAGACCTAATCTTAAATGGTTCAAAAAATAAAACAGTGTGCACATGTGTGTCTGTATGTGTGTGTGTATATATACATATGTACATACACATAAACATAGAGATAGAGTATAAAGCAAATGTCCTAAAATGTAAAAATCTGGTCAATCTGAAAAAAGGGGATATAGGAAATGCTCTGCTACTTTATTTTTACACATTTTCAGTAGTTTGAAGTTATTTCAAAATAAAATTTTCCATGCTACAGGCAGCTATTTTTCTCCCATTCCATTTGCTCTGTTTGAACCTGAAGATAATGAGCTGCACGGAAAGCCAAGTTGAGAGGGACAACAATTTTCAGGTGTTCTGCTCTGATGGATGTAACTAATGAGAAAGTGCCATATTAAATCCTCAGAAAAATAAATATCTGAAAATTTATCTTAAAAAAAATATTGCTTCTTGGGCTGGGGGTTGTAACTCAGTGGTAGAGTGCTTGCCTAGCACGTGTGAGGCACTGGGTTCAATCCTAAGCACCACATAAAAATAATTAAAATAAAGGTATTGGGTCCATCTACAACTAAAAAATGTTTAAAAAATATTGCTTCTCTTCAAAGATAGTAATCTGGACTTAAACATAACCTAATAATAATTTTTAAATTTCTTATATAGTTTTTATTATACTAAATAATGAAATGGTGGGAAGGTTTAATTTTTAGATCCTTAAATTTTCAACCCATAAAAAATATCAGAGATATCTTCCCCTTTCTCAGGGAAAATGAAAACTATTTTTGGTTTTAATCATATAATGTAGGAACAGGGTATAAGAGGCATCCAAATATATACTCTGAATATCAGGATAAAAACATAAATGTACCCTGGGTTCAATTCCAGTATAATAAATTTAAAACAGAAAAAGAAAAATAGAACATGAATGTCTTCAGTCTGCCTCCCTGTCTGGCCTCAGATTCATTTTCCAGAACTCTTATTAATACAAGTTGCTTTCTGTTTTTTCTTTAACCTTAATTTTTTACCTGAAAAGAACACTTTATAAGTGCAGTCAAGTGAGGAGACTTCCACTAAAGTTACCCATTTTCTTTTCCTCTAACTTTATAAAGTTTATTGCCATTAATACACATGTCTGATTCTATTTGCAAACTGAGCCCCATTCTATTTTCAGTAACACACATTAAAAATCCTTTCTAGAAATTGCTTCATCCATGCAGACAATATGAGGCCCCTGTAGGCTTAGCAAGGTACTAAGAGGAAAGACATTTTCAAATTTAGAAACTATGTGACTTTCCTCTCCAAAATGTGCAACCCCAAAGTCTCTCAGTTATTATTAAAACAATACTGGAGTTTACTATTTATTTATTTTAAACAGTACGGCAGGGAGAGGACCAAAGTTGGAGCACTGGTAGAAACTATTCCCCAGCCAATTTGGGAGTGTCCTGGCATTTCAGGGCAAACAAGGAAGCAGAGAACTTGACATGTCTGGGTAGGGGGCTCAGCCAACTTGGTTCCAATTTAGCCATTCATTCATTCATTGCAGTGCTGGGGATCAAACCTGGACTTAAGCATTCTAGGCAAGGACTCTACCCCCAACCCAAATCACTGCCTTTATTAGCAACAGCAAAAAAAGGCTCAATATATATAAAATGGAAGGGTGCAGTTAAGTTATACAAAATACCTTATATGCGCCTGGCATCCAACACGGCTCCATCATTTGTCCTTGCCATTATCAATATCAACAAAACTGTGAGCATTCAAATAGGGTTTCTGAACAGTTAGCCCCTAACAATCTCAGGCCTAACAAGTTCAGATATTTAACAGGAGACAGTAACTCTTACATGGCTTAGATTGGCAGTAGATATTCTAACAGGAAATAGGAATAGGCACTAAACAAACTTAACAAAACACAATTATTCTTTCTGGAGAGAATAGAAAAAGTTGGGATTATGTACAACCTGCCTAGATCAGTATTACAAATACTATGGCCACTATCTGGTGAAACAAGGAAGCATCAAATAATTGCTCATCATCTACCCAGTATACAGTTAATATCTGGGAAGTAAGAAAGAGCAAGACAAAGCCACTTGGGAGCCAAAATAAATTTCACAAGCTAAGACCTTGGAATAAGGAAGGGGATGAACAGATAAAGATAAGCTAACCACAGACATATGTTAAACACTTACCTTGTATACTTAAACAAAATAAAGGGAGTATCCCTTAGGCCTTTAGGGATGTCCTACATTGCCCTCACATAGACTTTGCCTGCTGAGATTACAAGCAGTAGAAACGATTTAGCTTTTCCTGATAGCAAAATATACTTGTAGCAGGTTACATGACCTTATTAATAGTTTCTGGGGCTGCCAGGCCACCAACCACATTCTTACTAGGCCCTAAGGGAGTCCTGGCATTACAGACAAGTTCCAGATCTTATAAAAATTAACCCCAAATGACTGCACAAATTTCAAATATCATTAGAAGTTTTCAGAAAGCCTGGCCCAACACATTTTCCCATAACAGCACTATCCCAAGGTGGAGTATTTGGGTTGCACAGATAGATAGGACTGAATTCCTCTGCTAGAAATTCCCCTCCTTTCCCAGGGGCCCACTCAAGTCTCACCTTTTAATGAAGCTTCTCCCCAATTCTCTGTCTGGGCACCCCTAGTACTACTATATGAAGTATAGCCACATTCCTGTACCTGCCCTCACATGCTTTGCTTTGAATATTAAGAATGCTCAAATCACTACACATCTATCCCATGAGTCTGGCTCATGAGGCTCTTAGTAGGGAAGACCTTCATGCCTCTATTACCTAATATGCTTTTTGGAGACAGAAGACAATGTTTGATGAATGAATGAAAAAGAAACTTCTTCCTGGCTCTTCTGAACCCCAGGATTCTAGAATGTTAGTTTTGCAAACCTTTAGAGAAGGGATTTTCACCCAGGGGCATGAATCTCATGGAAGATTTATAAAGCACATAAAATGTTAGGTGTATGTTTATTTTCATCAGATTCTGTTAAAGTTCAGAATCCTCAACAGCTTAAGAACTCGTGCTTTTTTTTAAAAAAAATATTTATTTATTTATTTTTGGTTGTAGTTAGACAAAATACCTTTATTTATTCATATGTGGTGCTGAGGAAAAAACCCAGGGCCTCGCATGTGCTATGCAAGTGCTCTACCACTGAGCCATAATCCCAGCCCCAGAATTTGTGCTTTTAAGGGAGAGCCTCTCCTGGGCCAAAGCTGCAGGTAATCTACTATTTGAACTGCAATAGGGTGTGGGCCATCCAGGCCACTTTTCAACATGTCACCTTGTTTTCCCTCACAGCTTTAGCTCTGCCAAAATGAAACACCCCTTCCACCCTCTTTTCATTTTCCTCATCATAACATCTGTGTGTGGTGGAAGCAAAGATTTCACAGATCAGCTTAATAATAAAAACCTGAGCATGCCCCTTTTGCCTGCTGACTTTCACAAAGAAAACACGGTCACCAATGACTGGATTCCAGAGGGGGAGGAAGACGACGATTATCTGGACCTGGAGAAATTATTTGGTGAAGATGACGACTACATTGACATCATTGATGCGGTTTCCCCAATAGAATCAAGTCCTGGGAACATCCTGCAGCTTTTCCAAGGCAAGAGCCGGATCCAGCGTCTTAATATCCTTAATGCAAAGTTCGCCTTCAACCTTTACAGATCACTGAAGGACCTGACCAACACTTTTGATAACATATTTATAGCACCTGTTGGTATTTCTACTGCAATGGGGATGATTTCCTTAGGCCTGAAGGGAAAGACGCATGAACAAGTGCACTCGATTTTGCATTTTAAAGACTTTGTTAATGCTAGCAACAAGTATGAGATCACAACTATTCATAATCTCTTCCGTAAGCTGACTCATCGCCTCTTCAGGAGGAACTTTGGGTACACACTTAGGTCAGTCAACGACCTTTATATTCAAGAGCAGTTTCCCATCCTAGATGACTTCAAAACTAAAGTGAGAGAGTACTACTTTGCTGAGGCTCAGGTGGCTGACTTCTCAGATCCTGCCTTCATTTCTAAAACTAACGACCACATTCTGAAGCTCACCAAGGGTCTCATAAAGGAAGCTCTAGCGAATATAGACCCTACTATTCAGATGATGATTCTTAACTGCATATACTTCAAAGGTAAGAAGTAGCTTATGGTTCTCAAAGCAAACTTTGAGAATGTACTTTCTAGACTGAATGTCAAGAGCTATATTCTAGCTATGAATTACAATGTACTTTCTAGACTGAATGTCAAGAGCTATATTCTAGCTATGAATTACCCAAGAAAACAGATCTGTGTCTACAGGGTTGACTCAGATACAGGGACAAGGAAGATCATGATGATGTGACAGCTACTGAGCCCTAACTCTATGCTTTATGCTCACTGGATCTTCACCACAAGTGAGGTCATAATGATTATTGGGGTCCCTATTAAGGGCACATGGCTAGTAAGTGTCAGAGTAACATTGGACCCAGAGGGTCCATCTCTAGAGATTTGTTAAATTAGAAGACACAATGAAAAGAAAAATTAGCATTTGTCCAACCTGGATTTCAGTTTCTTCATTTCCAATCCCAATTATTAGTAAGCAGAAATATGGAGATAAGGCTAAAGATTTGTGTCTCAGAACTGTTCAGCTAGAGTAACTGATATAACAACTAAAATTGTTTCAAGATACTTTTGTACTAAAGGGCAAGTAGGGGTGGAGAAATAAACTACTATTTCTTAAGCAATGGTTCTGGACCAGGCATAAGGGCACTTTTTAAGGAGGTTACTACCCTCTAACACACACACTTCTCTCTCTCTCAGACACACACACACACACACACACACACACGCCTTCGAATCCTAGAAATAAAGGAATATGTATTTGTAAAATCCATACCTTTTACTGGAACTTGACCAGAATGACTATATCTCTCCACTTTACTACCAGACACCAATGAGGACATAGTTATTGGGAGGCCAACAATCCTGTTAGCCCCAGCAGTTGTACAGCAGCCCAGGAATGCAAAGGACAGAGACTTTCTCCTGGCTTTTGCTTGGTGGAGGTGAGGCCAGAGTCCCCTTCCAACCTGATGGCATACCCCACAGAAAGGGATATATCCTTCTCTGTGCCCAGGCTAAGGTCCCCCAGCAGCTCTACAAGGCAGGCATCCTGCCAGGTGGGCTGTGAAGTAGGATTGAGGAGGCCAAGAATTCAGGATGTTCTAGAGTGCTAAGATTTGACCCCTGGGCTTCCACCCTGAGCCAGGTACAATGCCAGTTGGAATCAAAGGCTAAGTGTCTAACAGGCTTGCAGCAGACTCAAAGATAGCAACACACACACACACACACACACACACACACACAAATATGATAAATATACACATATTCTTTTCATCACTGGCTTTAAGTTCTTTCTTTCTTTTCTTTCTTTCATTGAGGATGGAACCCAGTGCCTCATATGTGCTAGGTAAATGCCTTACCACTGAGCTACACCCCAGCTCTGGTTATAAGTTTTTTAATTGGCAAATAGAAATCTAATCCCTGGCTTCACCACTTCTCATTTGTGTGACCTTGGGCAAGTCATTCAACATCTCTGACTTGGTTTCCTCATCTTTATCACAAAGGTGATAACACCTACTCTGACAGGGCTGTGGGGAGAACCAAAGAGACTATGATGCAACACTTAGCATAGTGTGGGGCAAATGGCAATGAACTAGAGTGAGTCAAACTATAGATTATAATAATAGTATAACATGGCTAGTGACATTTATTTAAGCAATTAACCTATGAAATGACTTTAGAACAGGTCAGTGAAAAACATTTAGCAGCAGCAAAGCCCTCAGTCTCATCAGTTTGTTGGAAGCCTCCAGATCACTTGAAACGTCTGCAATAGCCCTGGCCTGAGTTCAGGGACAGGTGGCCATTTCTGTCAGCATGGGGGTAGAGAAATGACTAGAAGTTGTCAGTTTGTCTCCTGAACAGAGTAATCCATATCAAACCAAAGTGTTAAAGTGGCAAACATATGCTGAATGTCCTGATAACACTGATACATTAACTTAATCCAATACTGGGAATTGGAAAAGATCAAATGCTAGTATCAATCAATCTTTCATGGATGCTTCTCAAAGGAGAGGAAACTCTAGAAGTACAATTTCAATTTCTAGCTCTCAAATCTCTGTTATAATTTGATTTTAATTGCAAATGTTTGTTTACTTTAGTAAAGCTTCTCATGTGCTTCTTCCTATCAAAGCTGGAAAGAGCAGTGATTCCCTGTGGGATCCAAGACAGATGCCTGGAAATACTGTGATTATCACAACCTGAGGAGGTGGGGGAAGCATTGCTGATATTTCATGGAGGTCACAGATGCTGCTAAATGTCCTACAATGCACAGAACACTCTCCACACCAGAGAGTTATTGGGCCCAGATGTCTATAGTGCTGTGGTTGAGTACTGGGTAAGGCAGTCTTAGAAGTCATCTAGTATAGCTATGCTCAGGCAGAAGCTGTCTGATGTTTAGATCTACAAAGTCCCTGCCTGCTTACCTCATCCGCGCTGTCAACCTACCAGCTGAAAATTTTTGTTGTGGCTCTGTTTCCTCATCCATAAAAAGGGAATAATAATAATAAAAGCACCCATCTCATATAGTTACTGGGAGCAGAAAATGAGATAATACAGGAAAGGTGCTTAGATTAATTGGTGGCATATCACCAGTCATCAACTTGTCCCCAATTATTATTAGTTATCTTACAGCTATTATTAGCATCTTAGAGCTAATAACAGAACAGACTTATTCCTGTATACACAGTATTGCATCCAAATCTGCAGTGAAGCTGGGTGTGGTGTCACAGTTGAGGCAGAAAGATCAAAGGTTTGAGGCCAGTTTGGGCAATGTAGTGAGACCCTGTCTTAAAATAAAAAATAAAATAAAAATAAAAAGGGCTGGGAATGTAGCTCAGAGGTAGAGCACTCCTGGGTTCAATTCCCAGTAGTGCAAAAAAACATAATCTATAATGAAGATCCTGAGGGCAACACCACATCACCCACATGTCCTGCCAAATGCTGCTAAATCATAGTATGAGGGATGAGAGCCACCAATAGAGAGCAAAAAGGAGCTCTACGATACTCATTTTACAAATGAAGAACTCAAGAGGCCCAGACAAGTTTAGGTGTATTGCCAGGGTCAAACAACTATTTAGTGTTGGAATCTAACCCACAATCCATTCCAGTCTATCTAACCTTTCCTGCTGGAAATGCAAATTCTCAGCTCAAACCAGACCTGAAAATCAGAAACTCTGGAGATGGGCCCTGCAAAGCCCGCCTAGGAATTTGGACCCATCATTAAGGGTAGGAGACCATTGTTCTAAAGGAGCATCCTAATAGCTGCCTGCTTCTTTTGATTTTAAGGATCCTGGGTGAATAAATTCCCAGTGGAAATGACACACAACCACAACTTCCGGCTGAATGAGCGAGAGGTGGTCAAGGTTCCCATGATGCAGACTAAGGGGAACTTCCTTGCGGCAAATGACCAGGAACTTGACTGTGATGTTCTCCAGTTGGAATATGTAGGAGGCATCAGCATGCTAATTGTGGTCCCGCACAAGCTATCAGGGATGAAGACCCTTGAAGGACAGCTGACACCCCAGGTGGTAGAGAGATGGCAAAAAAGCATGACAAACAGGTACTTCTAGGTGTTTCTTCTAAAGGCTGGGGGTGCCCAGGACTACTGAAACTCTGGTCATTTTTTTAAAAAGGGAGAATTATGCATAACTACCCAGAATGCCAAACAGGCTACTCTAATTCAGTCCAAATTTCTTGCTCAATGAGACAATCAGAGAGCACTTAGGAGCAACACATCTGCTTACAAGGTCAATTTCAGAAGGCAGAGGCAGGTAGCTTAGAATCAGTTTGGAAATAAGTATCCCAGCCCTGCTACATATTTGCTTTGTGAATTTAAGTCCAGTTCCATCAACCTGAAAATGGTGGTAATTCCTTTACTTATGGGGGTCAAGAAGAGAAATAAATAGAATAAGTGATATACCCCAATGCCTGGAACCTAGGAGGAATTCAACAAAGATTAGTTTTCCCTTTTTCCACCCAGCAAATTCTAAGGTTCTCTAAACTCATTGCAAGTTTGTGATTCATGATTTTCCTCTATTATTATTCATTGCTCAATAGTTAAAACTGCAGATTTTAAATATTTACAGAGACTATTACTGGACCATGGCAGAAAGAATGGAGAGGTCAGTCACATTTCTGTTTTATTGGATGCTACTTAGGCCAATATGAATAAGTAAATCTGGTTTAGAGCTCCTTATAGAAGAAGAATACAGAGAAATGCAACAAAATAAGAAGTATGTTCTTAGAGAGGAAATTTCCCCAGGTGGCCTATCAGTCATCAAGCCTTGTGGATTTTTCCTTAAAAATGTCCCTTCTGTACCCACTTCCTTCCTAATCTCCCTGCCCTGACTTACACCCTGAACCCAAGGAAGCCAAACCAACCTGCAAGTTCTATTCTTAGTCCACCCACATACCATCCACCAGATCACCATTCTCAGCACACCCTTCCATCCTCCCGTTCTCAGAAACTATCCCCTGGTAAAGGATATCAATCAAGCCCCTTATATGAAATGATCTATATTTGTATAAAATCTATGCAATCCTCTGCTATATTTTAAATAATCTCTACTTATTTATAATACCTGGTATAATGTAAATGCTATGTAAATAGTTGTTGTACTAAAGTACTTAGGGAATAATGATGAGAACAAGAAGTTTATACATGTTCAGAACAGATGAACTTTTCCCCCTAATATTTTTAATCTGTGGTTGATAGAACCCATGGATACAAAGGGCTGACTGTAGTTGGAATTACAGTAGGTGGTTGTTCCAAAATCCTCAACTGACAGTGCCAGGTTATAAATTTGAATAAGTGCTATGTTAATTTTGCAGTGAATGCAATACATGGTAGGGTGTGCACACTCATCAGGAAAAACATTCTTTTGTAATTTGTGATTCAATAAAACTGTGCCTCTTCCTATTCTTTGACTAGAACTCGAGAAGTGCTTCTGCCTAAATTCAAGCTGGAGAAGAACTACAATCTGGTGGAGGCCCTGAAGTCAATGGGAATCACAGAGCTGTTTGACAAAAATGGCAACATGTCAGGAATCTCAGACCAAAGGATCACCATTGACCTGGTAACTGTTCCTTTGTCTGCACTGGTCTAAGGGTCAGTCACAGCCTAACTCCCATCTCCATCTGTCCCTTCCCAGCCCTCCTCCACTCAGTCTCATTTCCCAAGTCAGGGCTGCTGAAGCTCTTCTGGGTCTGGCTGTGGCACACAAGTATTCAGTTCTGCAGCCAGGGAGGGTAGTGCATTTGCCAGATGCTCACTAGGCAGAGTGGTCACAGGAACAGCCTTGGAATGAGTCCTATTATTGTGATACCCAAGCAAGGAGAGATGTGTGCTCCAATCTGTGAAATAGCTATGCTCAATTGAACTGTGAAAGACCCATTAAACACCCAGAAAATGTACTATACACACATTTAACTTCACAATCCAACAAACAGACACTTAGCAAAAGAAAGTGAATAACAGGCCAAATGTTGTGGCCGATCTAGGCCCCTGCCCACCTAGTGCATGTGCACTCCAGACTTTTAGGAGGATATGGGGGTCTGCAGCAGCTGTCTTGGTTCCCAAAGCTTCTCAGACTGTGGTTGCAACTTAGAATGAATGTGGTTCTAGAGTATACAGGTAAGTACTTATGATTATAACATGGCCTCTAAGCACAATTAACTGCAACTGACAGATGATGAAAGAAATTTTCAAGGGTAATTTTGAACAATTGTGATTTTTGCCAGTTGTGATTTGTGATTTTTGTGTGGTCTTTGGACATTTTTCTAAAGGAAATTAGACTCTATTAGATGTTCTATCATCTATGTACCAACCTATAGAATCTGACAATTTTTCTTTCCAATTTGAAACAGTTCAGACACCAAGGTACCATCACAGTAAATGAAGAGGGCACCCAGGCTGCGGCTGTGACCACCGTTGGGTTCATGCCATTGTCCACTCAAGTTCGTTTCACTGTTGACAGACCCTTTCTGTTTCTGGTCTACGAACATCGCACCAGCTGTCTTCTCTTCATGGGGAGAGTGGCAAACCCTGCCAGGTCTTAAAGATGGCAACCTGGGCACCTGACATGTTCTGGGGGCACAATCCAGTGCTTCAGCACCCCTGGATTCAATCCCCTGTACCAATTCTATTTCCATTCTATCAATGAGGACAGAGATGTTTTGGTACCAAGACTTCCACGGTTACCAAACAGAATCAAGGCTCTATGGAAGAAGAAATTTACTAACAACTGAGAAGCTGGTTGGGATCAATTTTGCATATTAAACAATGCCATAAGTCAACAGGAGCTAGTATAACTAACTGGTGTGTCAGCTGTTCCTAAAGAGTCTTGAAAACAGACTCCCTCACCTTCTTCCTGCCTCCTCATAGCAAACCTATAATGTGTACTCAGCACCTTCTTTCCTGAAAGCCCCATCTTGCACATCTGGCCCTATTACTTAAAGCCTTTCTCAACCAGGGACCCCCATATCAAAACACAGAGATGAGTTACATGACTAATTTTTCACCCCAAAGAGGGTGCCTAATTATTATCATTCCCAATGCCCAGGAGAGAAATAACCTGAGACATACAAAGGGTTCCCTGAGCATTGGGTCTTAATTCTCTCAAGGCCTAATCTTCCAAATCCATGTAAATGTCCTACTGTCATCTCACTACTACTCAGAGGACAGTGTGTGTACACAAGGCCATGTCTTCTACCCTAGAGATAAATAAAGATAGCCACATTTACTGTGTCTCTAATTCGATTTTCTTTAACAAAGGCTGAATTCAAAAGAGCCACATCCTACTGGGCATGACGGCATATGCCTGTAATCCCAGCAACTTGGGAGGCTGAGGCAGGAAGATTATAAGTTTAAGATAAGCTTTAGCAACTGAATGAGACCTTATTTCAAATAAATAAATAAATAAATAAAAAGGGTTGGGGATGTGATTCAGTGCTTCAGCACCCCTGGCTTCAATCCCCTGTACCAAAACCAACCAACCAACCAACCAAACAAAACCTCACCAAAAAAAAAAAAAAAAAAAAAAGAATGAGGTCTGCATGGAATCCCTGAAACAATGCTCTAAGTCATCCCCAGTCTTTCCACTGTCTTTAAGTGGGGTCTATGTTTTAGCTTTCATTCTTCAGACATGATTTTGTAGTGGATATAGTTTGATAAAGCAGGCAACAGCCAAGGAATGTATTTCTGGATCCCTCACTACCTGGACAGAGTGCCTGAAATCCAAAAAAGTTGCTCAGAATGCAAAAGTTATGTTAAGCCTTCAATTAGGGGGACCATCACTGTCACAAGAGCAGCACTCATAGCCTGGAAGGAGAAATTTTACCATTCATCCTCTCTTTTCAAGAGAGGAAGATGAAGACTGAAGGGTTCTGAAACCTGCCCACAATGTAGCTGCAGTATCTAGTGCGAATGGGGTTCAAGAACAGGCTGGTTTGCCGGCAAGATTACCTAAGGAGTCTTGTCACAAAAGATCAGATGAGGCCAATGCCAGTAATGGGAGCAGCGGAAGGGGAATGACAACAGAAAGGGAAAGCAGGCATTGCTATTGCATGGGTGGTCTTGCTGAGAACTCAAATCAACTCTAGGAGGTGTGCACTGGAATCACCTCCTTTTTATAGCAGAGGAAACAATTCAAGCTCAGAGAAGGGAAGTGATCTGCCTCAGACTTAGATCTAAACCCAGATATCTGGGACCGGAAGCCTACTTTTCTTTGCTAACCTTCCTCACTTGTTCACTTTATAATTTCCTACACCAGTCCTTGCTTCAGCATGCTACAGAGAAAAGGACAGATCAGGGTTGAGACCAAAACTTCCCATCATAACCTCTCGGCCTCTTGATGAAGCCTAACATAGCTAATGACCCAATTATTCCATTCTTTCTCCAATGTACTTTAACATTGTTCTTTTCTGGTATTTATCCTATATTTTTCATCTTGTTGCTGGTTCCCCTTCCTCCCTCCCTCCCTCCCTCCCTCCCTCCCTTCCTTTCTCTCTCTCTCTCTCTCTCTCTCTCTCTCTCTTTCTTTCTTTCCTTCTTTCTGGAGGATACCAGGGATTGAACCCAGAGGCTCTCAACCACTGAACCATATCCCCAGCACTTTTTTAAAAGATTTGTTCTTTTTAGTTTTACATGATAGTAGAATATATTTTGACATATCATACATACATGGAGTATAACTTCTAATTCTTTTGTTGTACATGATGTGGAGTTACTACTTCTCCCATTTCTAAAGATAGTTACTTCAAAAATTCTGTCTTAAAAAGCTGGGCATGGTGGTGTGTGCCTGTAGTTGCCAGTTATCTGGGAGGTTGAGGGGGGAGGATTGCTTGAGCCCTGGAGTTTGAGGCCAGCCTGGGCAACACACTGAGAACCCATCTCAAAACAAACACACAAACCCCTCTGTCTTTAGCCCCTGTCTATGCCTCTGTCTTTTGCCATATCTATCCCCTTCTCAGAACAGCAATGGTCTCACTTTCAATTACCCTGCAATATCTCAGCTACAGCATGTCCTGCACAGGTCAGAATGCTCCAGTCTCTATGGTTTTTTTGTTCACTTATATCCATTTGGATTCCCTCTTACAGAAACCAGCCCACTCATTTTTCAAGTAGAATATTAAGTCAGAGTACAGGATTTGAGTCAGGCTGCCTGAGTTTGAAACCTGACTCTAACATCTACATCAAAGTCTGGAAAAGGTATAGGTCAGTGATAGGTGTTTAGCAAGAGCCAGGGGAGGATTTTTTTTTTTTTTAATCTTAATCTAACAGAGTATCTCACCTAGGGATTCCTAACTGGAGGCCCTGGATATTCCCATTTAACTCCCTGAGGTAAAATGCAGAACCTTGAGAATTTGTGTGTGTGTGTGTGTGTGTGTGTGTGTGTGTGTGTATGTGTGTTGCTAGAGATTGAACCCAGGGCCTTATACTCACTAGGCAAGTGGTCTACCACTAGGTTACATCTCCAGCCTAAATATATGCATTTCAATAGAGAGTGTACAGCTTTCAAAAGGTTCCACAACCCAGAAAATACTAATTCATAAACAGGACTATTTTTCGAGCAAGGGATACATCTTATTAAACCACTGCTTTATCACAGTGGAATGATGAGGTGTCTAAGGATTAGATAACTTTCAAAATGCTTATCAATGGGCTATAGAACAATAAAAGAAATTTAATTAATGATATTTCACAAAATTTGAAAACAAAAATCACTAAATATAAACAAGAAGTAGCCCCAAAGTTCATATGACCCAACCTACCAGTGACTCCAGGTTCCCAAGGACCCTGAGAAGTAAACAGCTGCATTAAAGCCAAAATCCAGCCTTCCTGCTTACATCCACTGGCCCTTCTACTCAGCAAAGAAATTTGAGACAGTGTCACCAAAGGTAAAAAAAAAAGTATACCTTTCTCTTAAAGAATAAAAAATGCAAAACATAAAAATAACAACAACAAAAAACCCTTTGGAAATCAGTTTCCACCAGAAGGTTCAAGGGGTAACCACAAAGTAAATGCAAGAACCCATGGTCCCTATGCTCTTTGTTGAGCAATAAAATCAAATATTTGTTTCCTCCCCCATAATATAACCATTAACTTTTTGTTAAAAATACAATACTAATTCTATTCATGTAAAAGGTCAGGTGAGTGGGCATTTAAGTATGTATATTCTGTTTCTTTCTTTTTTTTTTTTATTTTTTATTATTATTATTTTTTGAGTATGTATATTCTGAACTGTCACTGATAATGGTTATGCCTACACTGACCCTGGGAAGAAGCCCAGGAGTTCCTACAGAGTCCTATATGCCAGACCAGGAGTCCAATCCCAGCCGTTATGATCCTAAAACCCATGTGCTTCCAGCCATTGGGAAACACTAAGAACAGTAAAAACAAGTTCTACAAAGGTCATCTTGAAGAAGCAGAAACAGACTAAAATAAAATTAAGATGGAAATGAGCTCTCTACCCTGGTACGCTGTGATAAGAGGCAGGGCTTGTGGCCAGTGTGCCAACAATGGCTTCCAGAAGAGACTTGGGGCTACAGCTTCACAGGCTGAGTACCAACAAGAGGACTCCAGGCCTCATCTCACAGAAAAGACTGAGGAAACAAAGGCTGAGCCAACATTGGTCAGAGGCATTAATGCAGGTCATAATAGAGGTTGAGAACAGAGTCAGACCTAGGACCTGAGAGTCATGCAAGAGGGAAACTGAGGCAAGTTCCCAGGTCAGCTGGCAGAGGAGATTTGGACGGGACACAGAGAAAGAGTGATACCTATGGGGCAGTCAAGGAGAGCTACTGGTGGCTGAAACACTAGCTTAAAACACTCGGGTCTCAAAACAGCATTTTTCTAAGAAACGTACTGTGCATGAGTGCAGTACCTGGAGTTTTAAACCATTAGATTAATGAATACTCACCACAGCTATTACAGGAATGAGTACTCCCAAGTTCCCCGCGCTGCTAGAAGCCTAGAAAGAACAGAACTAATGTCACCAATGAGTATGCACTTATTTTAAAAAACAAGACACCATGTCATATAAACCTGAATTCCCTAATCTAAAAAAAATGATCAGAGGGCTGGGGTTGTGGCTCAGTGGAAGAGTGCTCGCCTAGCATGAGCGAGGCCCTGGGTTCAATCCTCAGCACCACATAAAAATAAATAAATAAATAAAGGTATTGTGACCAACTGCAACTAAAAAATAAATACTAAAAAAAAAGAAGAAATGATCAGAGATGTGTACACAAAGAGAGGCATAGAGATGCTCATCTAAGCCAGGCACAGTGGTGCTTGCCTGTAATCCCTACTACTTGGTTGTCATCAAATAGTTGTAAACATTATCTGCAATTAGACCAGTGATCCCTACCACTTGGGAGGCTGAGGCAGGAGGATTCACAAGATTTGAAGCCAGCCTGGACAATTTAGATTTAGTCTCAAAATAAAAAAATAAGGATTGTGGATGTAAGTCAGAGGCAGAATACTCCTGGGTTTAACACACACACACACACACACACACACACAAAATCATAAGCTGGAGATGTGGCTCAGTGGTAGAGTGCTTGCCTACCATGCATGAAGCCCTGGGTTGAATCCCCAGTAG